ATGGGGAATTTAATTCTCCATCGAACAGCATTGGTTTCATTCCTTATTGTTAATCAGGAGGGGAGAGACGATTTTTTAATTAGCGGGCGAAATATTGGGGAGTCACTCTGCGCCGAGAAAACATTGGGTTTCTTATAGCGCCGTGACTTTCGTCGCAATATTAATTTTTTTATTGCAGAGATTAAGGGATGAAACGGGCGTTGATGAATGGCGAATTTAATTCTCCATTGAACAGTCTTTGTTTCATCCCTTAATATTAATTAGTCGGCGAATATATCAACTGAAAAACATAATGTAAACATTGAGTACAAGGAGGACAAAAATAGCCCTCCGAACCTGTCCCTGTGACAGCGGGAGTAGCGGGACTGCTACTGCCGAGTTACTCACGCACCCGACTCACATTTACCGACAATTCGACCGGGACGCCGCCTTTCCCGTGGGGTACCAACTAACATTTTTGGATTCAGTCAAACCCCCCGATCCGGGCCTCTACACAGGTCTATCCTCTTTGATCGACGAGTCGAACGTACATATAGGGCTTCTATCAGAAGTTTTCCCTTCCCAGGGTACCCCCACTCTACGTAATTTTCACTCCGATGCTTGTCCCCCACTCCAAAAATCAATGGATAAAAAATTGATTTTTCAAAAATAATGGGGTTTACTCTAGCAAAAAAATTGGATGGTAATTTTCTACTCTGATGGTAACTACATAGCCACTTAACCTAGAATTATTTGTATTCAATAACAAACGCAGTATCGTATTTTTCAAGCGTAAATAATTGAAAACGACTTAGAAAATGTCGAAACGGAAATATGATGAGATTCTCACGGACGAGAGGAGTTGGTCAGCTGCGACGAGAGCAAATGAAAATCAGCATACCCTTGATTCTGACGAGGAGGATGACGAGGTGAAGGAAGATAATTACAATGTGATGAATCCAGATGACCTAGAGGGTGAGCGATTTCCCCTTTTTCCAATTTTTCATTATTGTCTGAAGAGACAGATATAACAAGAGGATTTTTTAGGAACCGAAGAGGGACCAACGGCAGCTGAGACCAATGTTGGGTTCACAGCTTTCAACATGAAGGAAGAACTTGAAGAGGGTCACTTTGACAAGGAAGGTCATTATCTCTGGAATAAAGAAAAAGAGATCAGGGATAATTGGTTGGATCATATTGATTGGATTCAGGTAAATTGGAAAAACGATTTTTCCGTCATTAAATAATATAATTATTTCAGTAGATAATTGTATTTAGCTACTCATTTCATCCTCAAACGTCATGATGCAGGTCTTGTAGAGAAGAAAATTTGCGATAAACAGTCTACTGGTATTTTTGGCTGCAAGCACTCATTCGTTGCAATTGAGAAATTAATTTTGAAAAATTGGATAAAATTCTACTCGTATCAGCAAACTATATAAATGATATCTTATCCGACCTAATGATTCTTTTATTTGTTCAATAATTGCAGTAATGAAATCGATAATTTTTCTTATGATTACTTCATTCATTCCGAATGAACTTATGATAATGAAAAAAATTAGAATCATTGATGAGATAGTTATCAACGTTTCGTTGAAGTATTTTATTCATTTTTCCTTAGAAAATAAATGATTACCAGAGCATTTTTTAGCTTCAGAAATTTGCAACAGAAATAGCTATGCTATTTTCAGTTGAAGTGATTCATTCTCAAGATATTTTCATAATTAAAACATAACGATGTATGGGTGATCATTTTACTGTTTGAACTTTTTGAATTTCTTACGGAATGCTTTTCTCTGCATACATTAATCATTATCTTTGATTTATTTTTGTTTTCTAGCAGCTTTTTAACGCTTTTTTTAATGAGCATTTTCATACATTTATATTTTTGTGTTATATATTTTTCAATATGGCTGCTATCAATGCACAATTGAGTTATTTTATTGATAATATGATATTTCATTTGTAATATTATATATTGGCAACATCCCGGACTTTTTCCATTAAATTCTTGATGTGTTGAGTGGGGCACTTTGTGTGTCCGGTTGTAGGAATGTTGTGAAGTATACTGTTTTGTAGGCTTCATGGGGGTCTACCTGAAGTCTTGAATAATTAAATAGATTCGCAATAGATTCGTAATAACACTGTCTCACAATGCCTCGTATTGTTTCAAATATAAAGATTTTTTTTAATGCAACAATATTGTTCAACATGAAAAATATGCCTATAATGTAATTTGTTTTGCAGATCAAACCAACACAATCAGCAGAAGGTACAAATAACAAAAAAAATGATGAAGAAAACGGTCTGGCGGATAGTGACAGTGAAGAAGAGCCAGGTGTGATGTTCGATCCAATCCCACTGTACAAACAGATACTGGAATACCTAAAACCTGGTGAGACTGTGTCAAAGGCGCTTTGCAGATTAGGTAATCCATCACTTTTGAGAGTTCAATAAAAACAGATCGACGATGAGTCAGTTTTTATGGGGTTTTTTAAAACTTGAAACTCATTTGCACCCTAGGTAAAGGAAAACAACAGATATCTTCCGCAGAGCGATGGAAGAGAAAAAAAGCTGGATTGAGTGAGACTGACGAGAATTCAGATAAAATTATGAAACTCACGGAACTTGCAAATGAATTATTAACGAGAACGGGGAATATGGATATTTATCAGGAGGCACATGATGAGATTAAGGAAAAGGTGACAAATAAAATGTCAATACTTTTTTTTGTAGACTCCGATAAAAATATTTCTGACATTTGTGACGAAATGAGTTAATTTGTCCTTTAATCTCATGTTTCACTCCGACCTCGGCTAGTCTCGGTGAGCTCACGGGTGGTTCGCTCAATCGGAGGGATAAGTGAAGGATAGAGGGAGGGTTAACGATATTAAACCGACCGTACTGATGTTGGTAAAATAACTATATATTAACTTTAATTTATACACGGTAGTGTTTAATGGGTCGGTATAACGCGGTTCTTGACTCGACTTTGGGACCTTGACTCGACTTTGTTATTGGTTGGCTGAAGGCCTGAGCTCAGAGATCCGCTCTGTTTCGCTCCTGATCGTACTCTGCCGTACTCTGGTGCTTCCCGAGTCGTCCAAACTCGTCAAAGTCCCAAAATGCTTACCTAAGCAATCCCACGGTTTTCTTCACTAATACGGTTTCGTGCATTCGTTTGTATAGAAACCTACACAGTCAAACAGTTCAGCACCCTGAACTGGACCTGTAGAAACCGTGGAACTGCTTACGCTGGTGTCCATGGGACACCGTGGGACTGCTGAGCAATCTTTGGATGAAGGGAATGAGAAACCTCGTTTCCCATTCCCATCGTCCACCACTTTGGGCATAATAATTATAATTATTAAATAAATCGACGTATTGATCTATCTCAATACGTCACACATTTAATCTGGAATTGATAATCACCAGCATAATTTTACAATTAATCAGGTGTGTTGTTATGGACACAACATTAAAGTAAAATAAACCTAAAAAAAAAATATTTTTAATGTTCTCAGCATTTTTGTACACAAAATCGAAGTAGAAAAAGTAGGAATAAAGTGCAAATTTTCCCAACTTCTGTTCATCAATCAAATGTCAATGGCATTTCATTACCAAAGATTTATTCATTCAACAATCAATAACTGTTCGGAATGAAATAGTTTTTATGATGAGAATCCTCAAGCCTCCTGTACTATGTGGTAGGAATCGAGATGTTCTTCATTTCTACTCTTAGATTGAAAAACATCTCCACAACATCTTCAAAAATTCTCATTACTAAATAATTCTTTCGCAAAGTCATAGAAAAGCATCAGTGAAATATGATATTTTTCTGCAATATAAAATATGAATTCGTTTTTTAATGAAAAATTTTTTGGCTTGAATAATGAGAAATTGTGATATCTGTTGCCTGTATAAGATAGAATTTGATTATTTTAATAATTTCAATTATTTCAATGACGAGTGGATTTAGAACAACATGTTAGAAAAAACTTTCATGTAGCTCATGAAATTCCCTGACAGAAATTTGTCGTGACTTTTTTTCTGAATTCAATTTTTTTGTTTCATTATGGGATCGGAAAAATCCCACAATGAATTAAAAAAAGACGAGTTATCATGAATTATCAATCATTGAAACAATTTTCGATTCTCCATTCCAGATCGATAAATCCGCAAAACAGTCACACCCATCAAAACAAGAAGCTGAATTAGACATGTATGCTGACGATTTCGACACGAAGGAGAAAGAAAAACTTGTGGAAACAAACCAAGGTAATTAACTACTAACTTTCCTCCCTCGGGTAACACATTTACCCTCAAAATTTTACGTCAATTCAACCTCTTCCATTTCAGCTGGTACGTCATCAAAAATGGATGAAGAAACAACTGAGCCAGTGGATGCTGAAGTAACATGGGAATTGAAGTGGTCACTCGAGGAAAACAGTGAAATTCATGGCCCACATACCAGCCAACAGATGCATAAATGGGCAAAAGAGGGCTATTTCAAAAATAGCGGCTGGGTCCGTCGCAAGGGACAACTCGGTTCATTTTACAGTGCTGCGAGACTCGATTTCGAACTTTACATGTAATTTTTTTCTTTATCCTCATTAATTTTCATTGAATAAACAATTTTCTGATTTATTGAATTAAATACACTATTGATTTACAATCTTTCCTGTTTGAATTCAATCCCTGGTGTCTTATCCTCTTTTCGAACAAGTTCCGAGCAGTCAGAGTAAATTTCGGCACATTCTCTGAAACTGATTGAAAACAAATTAGGATTACTCATTGATTTTGAGGATGACTGTGTGGTTGATAAATGGGTTCAGAAAAAAAATTCTAGTTTTCAGTAGAAATATTTAAATAAAAAATTCTGTCGTATGGAAATGAGTGAAATTTTGACTTTTTAAAATTCAGAAACGCCACTTCCAATTCTTAGTAATTTCTCTTTAAGGTGTTTCGTACGAAAAAAATAGATCATGACATTCAACTGGAATTCATACAGAAGGTTTTTAATCACAAATGAATTATCTATGAATTTTCCTGGAATTTTTTAAAATTTCCTTTTCAAGTTATTAACAGTTAAAGTCGCTTCTTATACATAGGCTCCTATGGAGATTTTTCTGTTTATCGCGAAACTGCGTTACCACCTAAGCTGATAATATAGTTTCATGCTAAACAGAAAAATCTCTATAAGCGCCCATGTATAAACAGCGACTTTAATCGTTAATAACTTGAAAAGAAAATCTAAAAAAATTCTATGAAAATTCATAGACAATTCAGTTGTGATTACAAACATTCTATATGAATTCCAGATGAATGTCATTATTTATCTTTTTCGCACGAAATACCTCAAGACCTGACTCCATTATCTGCCAAACGTTATTTCACTTGATTTTTTTGAGCGATCTTCATCTCGAAATTTCAACTCGAGGCCCCGTCACTCAGGGATCCCCGAAAATTCTGAATTTAGATTGAAAAACAAGTAAAAAAAATTCTGAACATTTTCAAAGAGCGTTTTTAATTAATATTGAGGAATGATTTCAATAGAGGAGATATGAATAATGTATACTTACCGTGGCAAATGGGGGCCTGTCAGTTGCCATCGTGGGGGAGGAAAAAAGAAATAATAAATCCTTTGGCTCACCGCAACAAGACGATTGTACAAAAGAAGGCTCTTTGAAAAAATTTGTAACATTTTTAAGAATTTGTGGATCACACTTTTACGATGAATTACTAATCACTTACGCCAATCTCCTCAATTGATAATTGTACTGGCAATCAGCTATCATTTTTACCGGGAATTGAAAACAGGAAAATTGCTCTTTCTTCCTTTTTTTGTGCCCTCAACAAAGGTGACAGTTGATGGACAGTACAATTTTCAATTGAGGAAATTGATGTAAGTGATTAGTAGTTCATCGTAAAAGTGTGATCAAAAAATTCTTAAAAATATAAACTTTTTCAAAGAGCCTTTTTTTCGCGCAATCGTCTGGTTGCGCTGTGGCAAAGGATTTATGATTTCGGCCTTCCTGCCCCCATGGTGGCGACTGACAGACCGCCATTTGCCACGGTAATTATACCTTATTCATATCTCCTCTATTGAAATCAACCCTCAATATTAATTAAAAATGCCTTTTCAAAATGTTCTGAATTTTTTTTACTTTTTTTTTTATCCAAATTCATTTTTTTCGAAAATCTCTGAGTGACGGTGCATAGAGTTGAAAGTTCGAGATACAAAACGAACAAAAAAAGCAATCTAGATAACATGTGGCAGAGAATGGGCTTTAAATTTAGTATAATTGTACTTAAATTAGAGCATATTTTCTCCCCTTCAGAGAAAATTTTGGTTGCAGAATTCAGAACTGTTGTATTGGAAACGAAGTAGTATGAACCTACTTCTGTTGAGCCGTTGAGTGTAATGAGGCAAAATAAATTTTAAATGCTCAAAAAAATTATTATTTATTATCGAACATTTGTTTTATGATGTGACGAGGCAACTTTTTTATTTTTCATTATTTTTATACTTTTTATCTCCCCCAACTACACTGCCCCCTAATATTATATATTTGGCCACCACTGGCTACCTTATCTTTCCCCCCGCGGCTACTCTAGTTCCCTCCCACCTCACCCTTCCGTCCCCCTCGACCAGCAACGATGAGACCCCAGGATGGAGAACAGTTCCGGCCCTAAACGAAAAGTGGAACACCGGCACCCCAGCAAGAAACCCCGAAGAACGCCCACTTCACCTCAGGCACCCGGAAAGCGCTCCTGGCCCACCTCGATCTGCCCCCCTGCGAAGAAGACGTCGACGGGAAGGAAAGCCACTCGTCTCACGACTGCCCCAGTTAACGCGTCGTATCAATTGTGCCCAGAGAACTATAACAATGTAAAGAGGATTGTTGGAAGATCTGGGACCTCATCCCATATCGGAGAGATCAACCAGGAGACCCTGAGGTGGAGAGAAGGCTCAGCATNCCCCCCCCCCCCAGTGAGATAATTATTGTAAGAATCGAGACACCCCTAGACACGACTAAACTCTTCCCTTCTTTGTTAATTCCAGCCTTCCCGATATTGCGCGTGTTCGAGTCGCTTGGCCTTACCCTCCCCCTAGATAAGAGTCAAAAGGCCTCACTATCTATCTGTAAATTTAATTGGAAATACATCATTTTATTGAATTTACCCCCTCTTATTTGTTACGCTTATTTGACACCCTAAAACCCCTTTCAGAATTTTCACCCGTCAGATAACGCGGTCACAGTGAATTCTAATTTTTATCAGTAAGGAATTAATCCGTAAAATTCGTTTAATTTTTTCAAGCAATAGTTTCTCGTTTGATTCTCGTTTCCCGCTTCATGGCAATGGGCATCAGCGATAAATCAATGCGGCGTTGCCACGTTTACATTACACATCATTTTCAAGGGAGCCAGTAATGTGAGTTATTTATTACAAAAATTTGACTGTTAATAGTTTTCACATGGGTATACGAGCATTTAATCATCTTTTCTGATTTTTAAGTTTTTAATCTTGGACTCTTCAGAAAAAGGTTATATTCTCATCAGACTCTGTGTAATTTTGAACTTTTAGATTTATTGTTATCAATAATACTAGTTTGTCAACTGAGCACAAATGCAAACTAAATGTTTTTATACATATTAACATTCATTTAAATAGTATATTTCGTCATTAGGCTGAAAAAATCTTTTATGGCGAATATGAGGTTTGCAGCGCGAGCCGAAGGTGAGTACCCTATGGCCGTCATGACAAAAAATACTGTTCGTCATACGGCCAAAAAAAAATTTTCTAGCTCACGTGAAGCGCTGCCTCATGGCCAGAATGACAAAAACTTATTTGAAATTTGAATCTTTGAGGAATCCAGTGCGCTATACGTCTGCAAGATTTTGCGAGGTATTAGTAATACCAAATTCGAATTATTTGTTATTGGGTATATTAAAAAACGATAACCCAAATATCATTGGCCTCCGAATGAATGCCGCGTTTGGTTTCAGCGTTGGGATGACGTTTCGCAAGCATTGCAGTCTGCATCTTCAGGCCTATGAGCTCCGATTCTGAACTTCGATATCTAGGGACAGTTCTTATATGCTCTCCCCTGCGATAGTGGGGGGAGTGAGGAGCGGAGGGGGGCATTAGTCAAACTTTTTTAATTGATCAGTCGATCAATGAAAAAAGGTTGGTCCGATCAATTAAAAAGTTAGCCCAACTTTTAACATATTCTGCCTCCATTTTATGAAAACATACATTGGGATCCATTCGGAAGTCTACGACCAATGAAATTTAAATTCGGATGAGATTTTCTCTCATGCAACGCTAGTCAACCTATACGCCGTCTCTGCAGTACGAGTGAGATACTAAAAAGAGCGCGCCTACTGATGGGTTGAAAATTGAGGTTTGTTCACATGACACTTTTACATAGTCATAGTTAGATGGCGACTGACCCATTAACAACACACCGATACGTCGACGCACCGATACATGACTAGTAACCTAGACGTGTCCACGTTAATCTAACTGCTGTATCAAGGATACAGCCGCTTAGGATTTTTCACATAAATCCTTATAAATCCTTTGTTGTTCAAAGTACATCAGCTAATACCTTGACTCAATTTATGTTGAATTAATATTCCATTAATCCAGAAGATTATTTCTTTTGATTGCTCTTATAGTTTAAGAACGCAGGAGTTCACAATTCAAGAATTCAATGGTTCTTGATGCAAGAACTTTTCTGATTTGAAATAAATAGGATTTTTTCTTCTGAAATTCAGAAACCAGTTTGCCATTCTCAGTACAATGCGTATTTTAGAACTAGGAGTCTCATAAAATCAGTAACTTCATTCTGGAAACTATAGAATTTTTTTGCCTGTGTGGGAGTCTGCACATTCTGCAAGAACAACCCCCCTGTAAGTTTCAAATTGCACCACGGTCTCTGGGGAGACCGTGAGAAATCCGGCTAGGAGCCGGATAGCTAAGTTGGGAAAGCACCCGATGCATAATCGGAAGGTCCCGGGTTCAAATCCCAGTCTGGACTATCCATTTTTTTCATTAAAAATTTTCTGGTTATTTATATTGAGAATAATCCCGGTTCCCCTCCTACCTCGTCCAAATCCCATCAAAGCATTTGCTATTTTTATTTTATTTTTTATTTTTTTTTAAAGTCATTTGCTATGAAGTCACAAAGATGTGGAATGCTATATAAATTCCCTTCTTTAATGGAAAAAAATGTTGTATTGAGGTTAAAATATACTTTAAGGCCTTAGTATTATATATTAATAGTCCCCCACGTGCAAGATTGCCTTCCGAGCCGAAGGCGAGGATGGCAAGCACGTGGGAGAGGGTGATATGTTTTCCATGGCGAGGTGTGTATATTAATTTTCGTGTCGAGGGACCTGCAAAACGCCAATTTCGTGGCGCGCAGCGCCACAAAAATAGCGTTTTTCAGGTCCCGTGACACGAAAAAAACTTTTCTGGCGAATATGAGTTTGCGGGCCGAGACGAAGGCGCGGGCTGCAATCATATAAGCTAGAAAAACATTTTTTCGTCCGTGTGACGAACTATATTTTTTGTCACAACGGCCGTAGGCAGCAATTCACGGACACGTAGCGTCCGAAATAAAAAGGTATTCAATAGCACTTTTTGCAATTGAATCCCCCACTGAATTATCCTTAAAAGTACCAACTCACTCTAATGACGAATTCATCAACATCATAAACTGACAGATAGTGCGATTGCGGCACTCTTTGGAAAAATTCATCCATGGCATGATAATTTCCTCTGCTTTTGCAAGAAATTCATTCATTAATTCCCTCGAACGAACCCGATCATATGGCGACGGTGACGACCACTCGTCCACTTTATGATCATGAGTGAACGGATTTCCTAATTATAAATGCAAAAAAAAAACCATAATCAGCAGAGAAAATTTACGATAATGCAATTAATGCAGCTGGAATAATCCTAGCAGTTGAGCATCATACGTACCATATTCAAACACCGGTGGCCCCTCGATGATCGGATAATTACTTTTATAAACATAATTTGAATATTTAAATATTCCGAGGAGTTTTAATGCCAAAACCGTTGCCCCAATTATCGTAATCACAACGAGTACAATTTTAATTTTAAGGATAACGAATGCAATTAGACCCTGGAGTCCACCTAAAACTGTTGAATAAAAAAAAAAATTACGAATGAACTAAATATACGGTCCCTCGGGCTTTTTGAAATGTCTCTTTAGAATTTGATTCATGAATAGTTCATTTTCGCTTCGTTTGACTTTTTTTTCTCTGTACTGTTTCTCTTAATCAAAGTTAAAATTAATTACATCCAACACTGTGAAGGGGATTGAAATAAACCTCGCTGTAGCCAGTTTTCTTCCTCGCTGAAACGGGGAAAAAAAGAGAAAAATCCGGTCTCGAGGGTTTTTCAGAGTTAAAACGTAACTTAGAAATTTACTCACAATATAGCAAATGGTGTTTTCCCTTTCGTGGAGTAAAAATATCACGGGAAGTTTTTTCATCATCTTGAACTTTCGCCAAGCAATCTGTCATGATACACAGTATCAAAAACAGGTATATCTTCATCGGGCAGGTGATAAGAGACTATTCACCACCAAGTTGAAAACAAAACTGGAGTTTAAAGATGTTGAAGTTTCTATTTATGGGTGTTAAGAGATTTGAAGGATGAGGGAGATAATTCGTGGTAATGTTTTTCGCAAGCAGATGAATACTTTTCCGTTTTCACTGTTAATTATGTTACACCCAATGTCAAGTGGGTCAGTGGACTAGTACAAGCTGAGTGTGAATGTACCACATTTCATAGTTTCAGTTGGTTTTTGTTTTTTTCACTTGGAAAGTGGATGATCATTTGTTAGTTTAATTGACGTAGAATTAAAAGTTGCAATTATGATTCGGAGTTGATGGTATGTTATCATTTTAAACATCGTATCAATGGAGTACTTTTCGTTACTATACCGATAGAAAGGTTTTTTCGGACGAGTAACGAACAATATTTTTCATCACGCTGTGACGAAAAGTGAACTTTTCGGCACGCTCCGCGTGCCTAACAGTCCAATTTCCGCCACATTGTGATGAAATAGTATATTTCGTAATGAGTGCAAAAAAGTGTTTTTTGGCGAGTGGGAGGTCGCAACAATATTTTTCATCACAATGTGGCGGAAATTGGACTGTTAGGCACGCGGAGCGTGCCGAAAAGTTCACTTTTCGTCACAGCGTGATGAAAAATATTGTTGCGACCTCCCACTCGCCAAAAAACACTTTTTTGCACTCGTTACGAAATATACTATTGTGACGCTAGTGCTATGTTCACCTTGTTTCAAAATGTACCTTTTCGTTTACTTGTAAACAAAAAATCTTTTCGTTTACTCGTAAACGAAAAAGGCACACTTCGACACTTGCAGAACATTTTTTCGAGAAAACGATTTTTGAAAAATTCTACTGGGTTATTGGTCGCTTGCTCCCATTGCGAGTGGGTTGAAGTGGGCGTGACCCATTACGGGTCGACCAATAACTTCCCGACCAATTCCCATTTTTCCGTTTATCAGAAAAAAAAACGCAAATTTTGAAATTTCCATCCGGATAACAAGAAAACGGCTGAGACGATTTTGCTCAGAATCCAATCAAAATCGAATTATGGTATTTAGTATGTTGATGCATCGACTGTACTAAACAAATCAAAATCCATCATATCCGGAAGCCAATAATGTCATTATTCATGACCGCGAAGGCCTTAAAACTAAAACCCATCATTCTTCTCGGAAAAATTGTTGAATTTTCAAAGAAATAGTATATTTTGCATCAAGGGCGGAAAGTTAAGACTTTCCGCCCGAGGTGCACATGCGATTTTTCAACATGCCTGCAAAGGAAAGTTCGTATTTTGCTCTTTGATGAGCGGGAGGAAAGTATGAACTTTCCGTGCAGGGGTGCGAAAAACTCATTTTCCGTCCCGGCGGGCGCAAAGTTACATTTCCCTTCCGCTTCGCGGGAGGGAACTCTGACTTTGTGCCTACGCCGAGACGGAAAATCGGGTTCTAACCACGGGAAGTAAAATAAAGGATCTTCAGCCGCGTGCGTAGCAACCTCGCCTTCGGCTCGGCTGGTAATCGCGCTGGCGGCTGAGGATCCCTTATTTTTCCTCCCTAGGTTAGAAATATACTATTCTGTACTGCTTCTCACGATTTCTCGTTTGGAAATTCGTATTATATGCTTCCCAAACTCGAAAACTTGAAAATCACTACAAAAAAATCTTGTACCGGGCTACTGCGATGGGGTTTTTTCGGCTCGGCCTTCGGCTCGGACGCTAACGCCATACGAGTAAAAAACCGCATCGCAACAGCCCGGAAAAATACTATTTTTTCGATTTTTCCACAAGTTTTATGCGAATAACTAACGAACCGCTTAGACGGTTATCTTCATAACCTAATCGATTGGTCAAAAAAATTTTTACCCACACGGGCAGGAGCATTTTTATCTTCAAAAACATATCAGGATGATTCTAGAGGCCAAGAAATGTTTAGAAATCATGGATTTTCCACATTCGATTTTCGGAGTCATTACAACAACTTCCTTCGGGTCGGGAGAAAATTGTATATTTCGTAACGAGTGCAAAAAAGTGTTTTTTGGCGAGTGGGAGGTTTATATCACGAGCCGAAGGCGAGTGATATAATCCCGCGAGCTAAAAAACATTTTTTCACGGGTTACGAATAATATTTTTCATCACAATGTGGCAGAAATTGGACTTTTAGGCACGCGGAGCGTGCCGAAAAGTTCACTTTTCGTCACAGCGTGATGAAAATGAAATTTAACACATTCCGTCTATAAGAGCTGTATACCACCCACCTTCAATCCAATGAATAGTTCATAGTCTTAAAACGTTTTCTCGTCCACATAACCGTATATGACTTTGTTCGTTATACTCTATTTTTTTTCCGCATTAAAGGGAGATTACAATGAGTTTTAAGAGCCGTAGGTTATTGGAATGAGACTTTTCATATGTTGCAGATCGATTATATAGATCTGAAAACGAATAATTAGTGCAAAAAAAAATTTTTTCTATTGTTTGTTTGCCTGAAAATGCTTAAAATGCTAAAAACAGTCCAAGGCCTCTAATTTTTGAGCTACAAAAGATTTTTTTTTTTCAAAATTTTTGAAAAAATCTGTGGAGCAATAATTACAAGCCAGTTTTTTGAAATTCGACTCCTACACAGCTGATTTCGGTTTTTTTCATATAAAAAAATTCACTATTTGTGTAAAAAAATACAAAAAAAGCAAATTTAGCTATGTAAGAAGCGAATTAAAAAAAAACTAGTTCGTAATTGTTATTCCACATATTTTTCCGAAAATTTTGAAAAAAAATCCTCCGTAGCTCAAAAATTGGAGGTTCTGGACTGTTTTTGGCATTTTAAGCATTTTCGGGCAAACGAACAATGGAAAAATTTTTTTGTTGCGCTAATTATTCGTTTTCAGATCTATATTATAATCGATTTTCTACGTATGAAAGGTCTCACTTCAGTAACCCACCACTTTGAAAACTCACACTGAGAAAAAGATTTGGTAGCACGGACTGTATTACAGTCGGGTCCACCAAATATTACGGTCGTATATAGGCAACTGGGTATGCGCTCGAGTTAACCGTAAGATTTCGTAAAACCGGCGACCTAACATTTAGTCACACTGACCTGCTCGTGCTTTGAATGAACATGAATACCGTTCATCTAATTGGATAAGGAATTTACTACAAGCTCATGTACGTTGGAAACAACTGAATGTTATATTATTTTGTCGTGATATATCATTGAATTAATCAATTTTTCGAATTCAATCAACAGAGATTTTAACGGCACTGACAAAAATTGGAGGTTGGTAAAAATAAATCGCTTTCTTTCCAATCAATTTTCATATTGTTTCGAATGAATTTTCCCATTCGACTCAATATACTTTTATTCAAGACGGCCGGATAATTTAATCGCTTTGATTGAAACTACCATTCCATCGAATGAATTTGGTGGTCGGAGTAATCGAATTCTAAATTATTAGGATATTATTATTTTATTAAGAGGAATGATTTTTTTTGCCTTGAGCATGATTAAAAATGATTTCAAATGTTTGTTCTACGATCTTATTTTTATTTAAAAAAATACTCATAATAACGTCAACTACAATCATATACAAAGAATGGCTTCCATAAAATTTCTTACAAAAAATGACTTTTCCTAAAATTCATTGCATTACGCAAATGCCCTCATCATGAGAACCCCTAATTAGATTATATAATAATTACATTAAAAGTGATACATGATCAATAATCTTATAATTAGTTGAACAGATGATACGAATACCAGCTTTTCATCACGCTGTGACGAAAAGTGAACTTTTCGGCACGCTCCGCGTGCCTAAAAGTCCAATTTCCGCCACATTGTGATGAAAAATATTGTTCGTAACTCATGAAAAAATGTTTTTGGCACTCGTTACGAAATATACTATATTGTAATCCTATAAATACATGTACATAGAGTAGATATCTAACATTTCAAGTTTGCCTGAATTTCAAAGGAAGAACAACGAAAAAAAACATAACTAAATATATAAATATTTTACACATGATTCAGGTACGATCGTCAATATTCAAACGGGATATATGTAGCATGAAAATAAGCAAATATCATATGTACATATTTACATAAGAAAGTGGAAGTTTTTTTATCGACATGGAATATAATATGATCCATTCGATAATTGATATACATTAGTGAGTTTTGGGAACAATAATTCGTTCTGCATTACACAACTCCATTGATTTGTTTCGATAACTTCAAAAGCATGATTATGTATACATAGCCGTAATGTTTCCAATTTCTTTACTAAAAAGTAGATGTTCGAATCTGCGGATATTATGAATTCAATTTTTCCAAATAAATGATTTTTATTTTCGGATTTCAAACACAAACATTTTTCCTTTATAATCGGTGCCATTAACCTGCACCCATGCAGGACGCACAGTGTTATTCGTGAGTTGTTCAGGAATAATATCTTGGAACTACTCGTAGTATTCAAGCTCTCTCACATCCAATGAAAATTCTGGCCCATATAGTAATCTTTCCTCGAATCCTTTTTGAGTTGCTAATCTTTGGGCAAATATCAACTGTTGATTGAGTGCTAAAGTATATGAAATATTTTTACGAGAGCGAACCATAACAGCGCGTTCTCTGAGCTTCTTGTGTTTCGCCTCATATCTCATACACGATATTCCTCACAAAGGACCGATCAAACGAAGTATTCGCGGATAGTGGACGAGAAAGTGGTGTTTAGGCTTCAGAGTATCATTAAATAATCTAACATAGGCAATATTATGAACAGAGATGAATTTTTCTAATGAATTTATGTGATTTTCTTTCACTACCAGATTTTTTAAGATGTACAAAATTTCCCGTCAATTCATATATAAATTCCATGCTTCGTTGTTTTCTGGTATGAAATCTCCAATAATGAGACTTAAGAACTCTACTAAACAAAGCATTTCTGAAGCCGAAATGATCAAATATCCGTCTTTTAAAGCTTTCGTAGGAATGAAAGGCAAGCTTCTGCA